CATTGTAGTCTACTCTTCCAGGATCAGGAAACAGTCCTCCATAAAATGTGCTGCACACATCTGAATATTTGGGTTGAACTGTTCTGGAACAGTGTTGTAAATACAACTTAACCACTGATTTCTAGTCGTGTCCTCTTTTGGATGGCCAAAGAATGTATTTTCGCTTTCACAATGAAACACACAACGTCTTCACAACATGGATGGCGGCGGTAACAATAAAGTTACGCCTTCTTTCTTTGCATGAACATTTGGGCGGCGTTATGCAAATCTTCCCACACAGTGACGTAGACATGTGGGGCGTGTTTAAACGAGGCGTTTTAGGAGGGCGTGGACCAGTCTTAACTTTTATAAAGAATATCTCTTTCGGTTTGAGACTTTAGTCTTTGCAACTTTAGGGATCTTATCTATTTACCTATTAATAGGTAACTTACCTTATCTATTATAACCCTAATTAAACACATCTGATCCAGCTAATCTAATCATTTAGGCATATTAGAAAACTACATGGTATGTGTGTTGGAGCAGGGTTGAAACTAAACTCTGCAGGGCTGCGGCTCTCCAGGAACTGAGTTTGACACCCCTGGGATAGGCCTATAAATCTCAAACTAGTTGTTTTTAATTAAAGGAATCAGTTATTTAGAATAATAAGACGTTTGGGCTGTTACCAGGCAGTATCAACAAAATTCATCTTTGCAATGCAGAGGAAACACAGAAGCTTTATCTGTAGTGGCATTTAGATTACACACTGTTTAATGCAGGACATGAATGCATTTAACCCGCATTTACAAATGCAGAAATAATGTTTTGATATATGAGATATAAAATGTTGAATACTCATTTAAAAAAAAAAAATCAAAAGATACTTTAAATGTGAAATTAAAACCACCAGTAGGTGTCAGCAAGTCACTGTTAATAAGTGAGTCATTGCGATTGAACCAAATAATTTAAACGGTTGATTCATTCAGGAACGAAACACCATCATGTTGCTCAGAGACGCAAAACTGTGCTATGGTGGCTGTGTTTGGAATTATTTTTGTTGTCAAAATAGAGCAAAAACAGGCTATATTGGAATTATTTTTGTTGTCAAAATAGAGCAAAAACAGGCTATATGGTGTCTAAAACGCAAGTCTCTTAATTAACTTCTTGTTTATTGAACTGTTGTAAAAAAAAATCTATATGTAATAATGCAGATTTTTGGAGAAAAACGTCACTCTTCGTGTGATATTGATTTACTATATGAAATTAAATATGAAATTTTCTGCCCCTATATCTTCAATTTTGTGGTCATTCTAAATGCATTTTAACAGACTGAATCACGCAGTTAAAGATCGCACTCTAAATGCGCACGCGCACTAGTCTAATCTTCACGGCACTCTGTAGGAGTGTTTTGTTTGGTCTTTGGCAAAATACTGATAATGTCAAATCGCACATCGTTTAAACAACAATTACGATATTCTCGCAGACGATATATATCGCACACCCTGCACCACTGTTTTTTGGCTAATTTGTGCAAAACCTTTTGCTAAACTGTCAAAGCTTAATTTTAACCAGCAATGCAACGATGGAAGTATTTACCTTACATGTCGAGATGGTTGATGTCGAGATTTTATAAACTGCTAGTTTGGTCTCCCTAGGCAAACACAGCTTACACTGCATAATAGAGCTTAAATATGGAAAGGGGTTCACTTCATTTCCTTCGAGTTCAACTTCAGCAAAATACGACGGGGTTTCGTTTTCAGCTGGGTCTGCACCATAACCCCTGTCTTGTTTGTCTGCATCTTTCTTGTGATTTTAGCGCCAGTTTGCTCTCCTGCCCATTATTTACTGCAGTAGTTGCCAGTGAGCTATTTTTTTTTACTCAGTAATTAATGTGTTTTAAAATGTAGCGAAGTACAACACTTCAAACAAAATATACTTAAGTAAAAGTAAAATTACAGATTTTAAAAATTACTTTAAAAAGTAGAAGTACACAAAAAAGCTACTCAATTACAGTAACACGAGTAAATGCAATTTGTTACTTTCCACCTCTGGTTTTTCACAAGTGTCCGCCATTTCGTGAGTTTGTTTTGGTTAGTGATAACGATCGCCTGTATGCAAGGCGTATACTTGATTGTGTTTTTTCTCTTCGTGTTAGGGAATGGATTATTTTTGTAACTGAAGTGGATTGTGGCTATTAAGGGGTCCTTAAGATCCACACTGAAGACAGTAGTGAGGTAAGAGTGATTAGTTAGTTAGTTAGTTAGAGTGGTAGTTTGTTGAGCAACAAATTGATTAAGGTGCATTTTTTTTTGTAGGTGAAAAGGATGACAGAATTTGAAGTGGATCAATTTTGTGTTGGTGAGATCACTCGGGGAAAGCTCTCTAGGCTTAAAAAAAACTCAGCTTCAACATTATGAAATTGATGAAGTTGAGAGTGACTTTAGGAAGTCAGAGCTTGATGAGCTTTTGTTGTATTTTGGTGTACCTGATGTGACCGCTGAAACGGCAAGAGAGGAGATGGGGAAAGAACATGAAGCCATTAGGAGGAGTAAGGAGCAAGAGTTGGAAAATGAACGTGTGGGATTGGAGCTGGAGCGTGACAGAGTAAATCAGCTAAATAGACAGCGATAAAGGGAGCATGAGGTAAGATTTGATACAACTTAAGTGTTTTGCACGTATGCCTCGATTTCATGATTTTCATGATGCAGTCTGTGTATTTTTCAAAGCATTTGAAAGAGATTGGCCACAATCTGAGTGGGTGACATTGGTTTGGAGGCAGTTCGCTGATGAAGCTCAAGAAGTGTATGTAGCTCTTGATGCTGTTCAGTGCACTGAGTATGAAACTGTGAAACAGGTCGTTCTGCGGGCATATGAGTTGGTGCCTGAGGCCTAAAGGCAGCAGTTTCGGAAAGTTAAAGCCAGGCCAGACCTATGTTGTTTTAGCTAGGCAGCAGGAAATACTCTAATAAATGGTTGAGCAACTGAAACATATTTCTTTCAAGATTTGAAGCAGTTAATGGTACTGGAGCAATTTAAAAATAGTTTACCCAAACATATTGCAGTGCATCTGAATGAGCAGGAGATAACTGAAGTTTGTGCAGCAGCAGAAATGGCAGATAATTATGTCTTAGTGCATCAGCAGCCCTGGGTAGCAGAGAAGAAACGGGGTCCTCCAAGGCAGTTTGAGGAAAGGTTTAAAGAAGAGTGGCTTGATTAAGTGGTGGAAATAGCGGATGATGGGCACAGAACGGTAACAAAAGTCAGAGACATTTACAATTAGCCTACCCACAGGTGTAGTAGTGTGCAAACTCTACTACATGGGAAAAAGCAACATTGTAATAATTTTAATCCCTGTTTCGGAACAAAGCAATCGATCTACAGGTGTGAAAGCACCCTTAGAACCGGTGAATAGAAAGAGAATGATGTTCGCCAAATGAGTCGCTGTAGAAATCGAATACTTTAATGGTTGAGAACGAAACACGAGAGCTAACGCAAACGCAATGACATGTGAAATAAAACGTCATCGTGTTTTAAAGTGTGGCTTGATTAAACGGTGGAAACAGCGGATGATGGGCACAGAACAGTAACAAAACTTAGAGACATTTACAGTTACACACAGGTGTAGTAGTGTGCAAACTCTACTACATGGGGATGTTTAGATAACTATATAAGAATTCACGTTCACGTTTTTTAAAAATATTTATAGAACATTTTTATTTTTTTAATATTATATTATATTATATTATAATAAATAATTGACCTCAAAAAGGGAATTCATGAGCAATAATTGCTCCATTTTTTCATATTACATTGAATTTAACTAAACTAAAATGTGTATCATACATCAAGGGTCAAATCAAATATAAATAGCACATTAAAGTTAAAAGTTACACACTTTTTTTGTGTGCACGCTGTATAGGTCTGGTATAAAGAATGTTTTAGCTCAGGTGACTGAAATGTCCGCCCAATAGAGAAATATTTTGCTCAGCAAGAAAAAAAAAAATAGAGGTAACTTTGCTAGCAGAGTATTTAATGCACTTCAGGAATGGCTTGAAAACTCTTTCCCTGTAGCTTCTGTTTCTCGATGTGTCCCTCAGAGTTCTGTTCTTGGCCCACTGCTCTTTTATTTCTTATATTGCAAACACATGCTTAGTCACATTATTCACTGGCATAGACTCCCTTTAACTTTTAATTGCTTATACACTACTACAGTATATTAGTTCCAAACCCCCTTCCCCACAAGATTCTTATCTGCCTGTATTAAACACCCTGTCACATCAATAAAAAAAAGACTTGAATTAGTTATGAATCGACATTTATTAGTTATAATAACTGTATGTACACCAATGGTACAACACATATTGATATGCATGAATACACTTTTATTTCACAGCTATGAAACAGGAAATCATTTATTTTACCACTTTCATTTTGACTATAATTTCCTCTCCCTTTACATAAAAAATCACATCACAAAAAGGGTGAGAGAAAGGAGCAGATGGGTTTACGTATAAGATCAATGTAAGAAATGCAGACCATCTATTAATGATGGTTTAAGATGTATTCAGTTAAGTAAGAATAATAAACCTGGTTATTCTAGAAAAAAATGTTTCACAATTGCCTGTAATTTTTTGTGTGTGTGTCTGTGTGCGTTTTTTTAAATATATCAGAAACACTGAAAAGAAACATTGGAAAGTCAAGTGCAAGACAGACAGCATGGAACTGAGAAATGTTTTACAGATACTGTGGATGTGGCTCAACACAGACTTAATACAGTGTGCTTTATATCATCAAGTATACTCAAATTCACATTCCAGCATATCTTATCATAACTTTAAGATGTACATATAACAAACATATGTAAGACTATCACATTAAAACAATATTTTATTGTATAACATCTTCAAAAATATAGCCTGAATATTTTGAGATGCTATAAATAACATACAAGTATCTTCTTTTTCGAGTCTGATGTTAGATTACATAGAAATGTAGGGACACATACATGTAGGGAAAAACATTCCAAACATAGATCAGATAGAATGATTGATATGAAATTGCTGAGAGAGCTAGTCTGAATTAAACTCAAGCAAAGTACTACCTTTCTATACTTTTCACTATAGTATTTTATCTTATGCAGCACATAGAGGGTATACATTTCTATAGGATTACAAAAACACTTAATTAAAACTTCATCACATCAATTAAACACCATTTCAATGTTTCTAGAGCTGGAAAAAAAAATGCAATGTTACCTACAATCAGTGGCTTCGCTAGGTCTTCTTGGCCCCCTGTACAGCACATTGGGTCAATATCCCTCGATAGGAATCGTGGACTGTGGTCCCCCTCAGTGGGGGTGGTGG